GACAGAACAAGAGTTCCCTGATAAGAGGCTCATTACATTTACCCTGTATGAAGACCATATATTCTCCAACGTCAGTAGCAGTAGTTTCACATGGCAAAAAAATGTAAGATACACTATATGATAATGAATAAACATTTGAAGATTAATGTGGGTGTTTGCTTTGATGAGATTTACGTGTATTACGTGCCTCTCTCTCCATCTGTTCCTCTTGGACCTTTTGTAATGTTTCATGTTTTATTTATAGCATTTATAGCAATATACCTGTTGTGATTATGGTTGATTTGCTTCCTTTACTTGTGTGTTTTTCCCACACTGGTGATTACTTCCATGCATGTCTCATTGGCCTATCCTCAAGTATTCAGTCTCCGTTTGAACCCCACTCTTTCTCATTTTCTGCTCCTGATTTTGCCTGTAAGTTGTTTTTTTTTCCTTTATTAAAGTTCTGTGTCAGCAGCCTGGTGTCTGTGTTTGGGTCCTCACTGTTTCAAGTAAAGCTGTGACAGCCTCAGCAGGGAGAGGAAAGGAATGGCTCAGAGAATCTAACCAAATAAATCACTTTAATTAAGACTATTTTTTGCTAACCCATTCTCAATTTCTCCACCAGCATGCTCAGCATTAAACTTGGGAGACTGTCATCTCATTTTTCTCTCTCAACTTTTTGTGTTGGTAAAACACTTTGGAGAACATATTTTGGGACTATTTATAAGCTGCTTAATTGTGGCTGAATCTTGTCAAAGTATCAAAATGAATGTGTCTCCTGTTCTGTTTCTAATTTGGAGATGAACCCTTTGTCTCATTGCACAGTCCCCAAAGACAAAGTGGACAACCAGAGTGTCTTTCCAGAATATGCCAGTTTGACTTCTTTCTTTTATTATTAAAGAAAACAAAAAAGCATTAAATTAGGAGAGTGGATATGATAGATGAGCAGAACTCAGGACAACAAGCTGTAAACAACATGCTTATTCTTAAAACCCTTGAGGAAATGTGAAAATACATCATAGTGAATAATATGAAATTATGATCATTGTGTTTCTGTAATTAATGATGACTGGAAATTTAATTTGCACAATAGCCCAATTTTTATATATTTTGTGATTACATCACTGGAGAAATAAGGTAAGGTGAAGAGGAAAATTCTAATTATGGAGAGTCATTTGCATAATTAACAATGTACAGCAATGATTAGTAATTACTGAATATCAAGATATGTAAAGCAGTTGCATTTTTAATTCTACAACTATTCAATTAAAAGTAAGTTCAAATCAAGTAAGGAAAAAAAAAGAAGTCTTTTAAACCATCAGTCACTAACTGATAAAAGTTGTTTACATGGCAAAGCTTTAAAATCTTGAAAACGTCACTACGATGGCTCTCGTATCAGCATAATAATAAAGTAGTGAAATCATCTCGTTTTATCTTGTAGGCGATGTTTGCATCCGTTTCTTCCGCTCTGCAGCGCACACATTTTTGATACAGCAAAACACCAGCCTTTGGATGACTTTGCAACAAACTCAAAACTTCATATGCAATCAGCCCAAACACAAACTGCAAACTTCTAACACTGGCTGCAGTCGCGCTCTTGTAATTTGAAGAAGATGGAGACAGATCCTACCGCATTGCTGTTGGGTGCTGTGCATGCCATCAAATTTCGCCATTGGATTTCACTGTGAGGTTGGATGTGAGTTTGCTTGAGTGGAGAGGCAGCGTGTGTGTGTGTGTGTGTGTGTGAGACCCAGTATAAGTGAGCGTCAGAGTGTAGTGAGTTTAATTCACTGTGCATGTATGTACGTGTGGCATGCAGTAGCTGTTCAAGTGGAATGCCATGTGAGTCAGGAATATTGAATGAGAACTGTGATGGCTGAGTGTGTAGCTAATCAAGTGTCCCTGGTCATGAGGCAGCGGAGGAGGCCAAAACCTGTTCAGAGCAGGAACAGTGCAGTGGAGTCATTTGAAATGAGAGAGGGAATCTCCATATGTTCTTGTTCAGAGTGTCAGATGTTTTATGGAACACTTAAATTATTCAGCCCGACTTGCCTTTCAACATCTTCCTCTCTGCACGTCTGAGGAGATGCTGAGGCCTGCTGTCACACTACATGATGTGGTGCTGCTATCTTCAGGCCTGAGCTGGTAATGCAAGTGCTGTTTCAATGAAGTCCACAAAGCAGTTGTCCTCATGTGTACTAAGTAAGTGCCACACGGATCGAAGAGAAAGAAGGCTCCAAGTTTAACCATAGAGCTCAGCTGGAAGTATAGTGGAATATTTATCATACTATAGTTCGAGCTACAGTGATCATGGAAATCAGTTAGCTTGGTGAAAATAAACTATATACATATATATATATATATATTTAGAGAGAGAGAGAGAGAGAGAGTTTATATAGACAGAGACTTGACTGAATCTGAATGGAACTAAACATTAATGTAATGTTGTTATGGATTCACTTCTACACTTCTGTCTTTGATCTGTTTTTCCTATTCCCACCTTTTGATTTCTACTTTAAGAAGAATCCGAAATATATTATATGTTACGAAAGAGTGGTTACACACAAAATGGATGTGGGTGATGTACAGTGAAAATGCATGTAGTGTTGTTCCATTCCTTCAACAGCTCGATATAAATAGTCCACAGCATGTGGAGACACAGCTGGTGTAGGTTCCTCCATCTGCACTACAATATAAGTATAATACACAGTATGAGTTAAGCACATGCATACATATACACATAAGTACACGCTGAGGGTTATGGCTTGACCTTGCCAGCTGCACCTCACAGCATGATTGCATTGGGTTTATATTGTGTTGCATCATCAACTTTGGATTATTCTCTGTTGATGTTCCCGTTCTGACTCAGAGGACAGCATGACAATATGATAAGAACAGATCATTTATGTTCCTCTTTAGTAACTCCATGAAGACTACAGCCCTGAGAGAGATTAACGTAATCTTCCCTGCATGTTGTTCATCTCTCATGGGTTCCAACGTTAAACTTTAAATATAAAACAAAACAACTTTTCATTGCATGCCTGATGGTCCACTAGGAGGAGACTAAATAATGGCTAAAATGAGTTCACAGCCTGACCCACACTGGATTTCTGGGGTCGATGTAGATTTTAGGGAGTAAAAAAATTCCTATACACCAATAAATGTTATATACAGTATGATGTGCACGTTTTGCTCTATATTTTTTCCCCCTAATTTTACAGACTTCAATTTAGCTACGGGCTATATGTGGTACAAACCATCTTTTCTTGTTGTTTGATATTACAATTTTTCTGTTTTTCATATTGACACACAGGTTCATCTGTGATAATATTTATATTGGTGAAAAATGGATATTTGAAATACAATTACAAGACATAAAAAAATCCAAAACTCAGAATTTATGCTGTGACAAATTCCAGATCCTTTCTGATAAAGAGAGTTAGAAATCATCACTTATTTTGGAATAGGGAAGCTAATAACACCAAGTGACTCCCATTAATGAGGGGCTGTTATACAGTGCCACTGTGACATGTCATACTTGTTAGATGGCTGAAAGTTTATGGCAGATTTCTCGACAGTTTGTCATCATTGTGATATGAAACAAACAAGTGTTATGGGCTTCAAATAAAGGCAGGCAGCTGACTAATGAGATATCAAATTGGCAATCACTATGAGAAGTTGCTGATTAATAGACACGCATGGACACACTGACTGAGTGGGTAAGAGACGTAAGACACTTTGGAAAGAAAGACAGACTAAAGGTGGCGATAGAATAACTGACACAAACTAAATAACATAAATAGATTTCTTTTTGCCCTGCTCTCAGCGCTCTGAAAAAGGCAGAATAATGCTCTGTGATGGAGTGTCCCGACGTGAAAACCTTCCTCATAAAGCCACATGGTTTGTGTGGCCATCTCCATCTGTGAATGACGTCCAGAAAGAGGTTTTCATTTTTACTTGACAGTTGAATGTGGTTTTTGTCGCCTCATCTGTGTCTCCTCAGCTGAGTTCCTCTGACAAATGCTTATTTTTAGCACATTTGGGGAAAAAACCACAGGAGGTGGATTCAAAGAAAAATCATTTTTCAACATGAAATTCTTACCCTCAGAGAAAACTCACAGCGCACATGTGTGGAATCATAGTTTATGTTTCTCATTTCTGTCAACTAAAAATATCCCCTGCTCCTGCATTGTTTGCACTTTACTGTATATTTTATTCCACAGAACCCAAATGGAAGCAGCTACAGGGAGTGCCACTGTGCACAGTGTTCCTGCAACCAGGAGTTGACACTGTATGACAGAACACACACAGAGAGGAGAAGAAGCTTTTTTTGAGAGCAATTAGCTGCTCTGACAGTGGAGAGAAATGGAAGTTGGAGAACACACACTTTCGAGTGTGCACAGATGAAAGCTTTGCCTCATATCACAACCTTTTCTATTGCTGCATAAGTCACTTGCTGGTAACAACACTACCTTCTATCAACATCTCACCAGAACTTAATCAAATTCATGCTCACTCACTTAAACTGAAACCATTTTCTAATCAAAGTAGATTTCAGAGCAGAATGAATCATGTTGACTTAGTTGCAAATCTGTCTGAGATACATGAAATGTAAAAGGCCCTGTATATTCAAATACTGTATATTTACATCAGGAGCAGGTCCTCTCTACGGAAGCTGCCATGTTTTTTTAACTGTAGCATTGAATGGTAAAACGAAACACCTTTTCAATTTTGTGTTGACTGAAGGCTACCACAGGTTCTCTTTAATGTTTGGAAGAGGACGGTGAGGTGAGGGGTATTCAGCTGCAACATGCAACTTGACCACTAGATGTCACTACATTCTACACACTGAACCTTTAATTTCCCAAGTTCAGCATGCACTAAACTGCAGCTGAGAATAAAAAACAAATCTGACCACAAAGAGCATAAGATTTATCCAGACAACCCGCGGCCATACAAATAACACAAGCGCAGCCTCTCTCTCTGCACCACACACACTCCACACTTGAACTGTGTCCTACCTGTGTGACTTTCTCTGTGACGTGGTGCGTCCGGTCAATGAGTTTGCAGGGAGCTATGATGTCCATCTCCCCCGTGGGCAGGGCGATGAGTGGGTCAGGTTTGAAATCCACAAAGTTGAGGGTGATCTGGGGGATTTTGGAGATGGTTCGGTACCGCATGAGGTCCGAGTCTGACGTGGAGTTCAGTATGTTGGATTTACTGTTTACTGCACCTGCAAACACACACAAGGTAAATGTCAAATTATCAAAGCAAGTAACAGAAGAGTTCCTCTGTTTTTCTGCCCGCACTCTCTCACCCGTGCTGCTGCTGCCCGGCCGGATACTGGCTCTCCGGTTCTTTCTTTCCCAGTCAGTCCTCATGGCCTCGATCTCGTCTACAGAGGATGCGCGACGCATGCTGTGGAAGCTTTCTCGCGAGCGGCTATGTGACAAGGAGCAGTTGGAGCCTGAGGCGTCCGGATTGAGGCTGAGGCGGTGATGGGGCGCTACGCAGGGTGATGACTGGGTCAGGGGACCCACCAGGTGGGTTCCGTGTGGAGGATGTGGAGGGTGGGGTACAGTAGGCTTAGAGCCCAGTAAAGTGCGCTTGTCCTCCCGACTGTCTTCTGGCCAACTTTGCAGAGCTAACCTAGGAAACAGAAAAGAGAGAGAGTATGATCGGGATGCTGAGTGTCTCTTCAGCCCCCAAAAAAACCTTCAATGCAGCTATTTTGTATTTTGACCTCACTCTTTGGGAGTGGAGGCAAGAAGATATCCTTGCACGAATCATTTAACGTTCTAAATGAAGTTTTACTCAAAATAAATTTAGGTTGAAAGTTAATGAGCCTGAGAAAGTCGTCAAATGTTAAGAAAAGATTCAACACCTATGTCAGACTTGAGAGTGAGAATCTCACTGGAAAGTTGCTCTACATCACCGTGCTGAAAAGATGCAGCATAAATGCATTAACACTTTATAGGACTGTTGAGAATCAGTAAAGAAAGAAAAACATTGCAAATCATCAGTAACTGAAATAACACACGTCCTTGGCATACCTGCTTCCACTGATTTGCTCTTGGTGGTCCGGTGGTAAGTGGGGTATGGGCAGGAACTCCCCCAGGCCTAAGGACTCGGGACTGTGGTGGTCTGAGTGCAATGACAGAGGTGTGGCAGTGGGGATGCGACCGGTCTCAGGGTCGTCCAGAGACGCTTTGCTGTTGGACAGGGAGCGCAGCAGGGGAAGACGCAGCTTGAAGCCTCGTGGACGACCTGGTGGAGAGGCGTATGAGAAGGTGAAGGAAAAGACTACTATTATGATTGAATGAAACATCTAAAAGAAAGAAAGAGGAAGAGAGGGGATGTAAATGGTTTTCTAGGTAGTGGACGTGATGCTAGGAGTGGGAGAGATATTTGAAGTGGATCATGCTGAGCCTAATAGATTTTTAAAAATACAGCTTCAAAAACAATCTACTGGAATCTGGGACAGTCACATTGATTAGATTTTGGTTTTATCCACAAAGTGAAAAAAAGAGAATTTGGCTGAGAGAGAGTTCAAAATGATCGTCCTACTTCAGACACTGTTCCCCTGGGTTATATCGCTGGAACATTAAAGTGCACAGACAGAACATGAAAATCAGTATTTTGTAAAAGTCAATCCCACACAAATACCCAGGATTCATTGGAGCAAAATTACTTAGCACAGATCAGTAATACCTGTATAAAACCTGTAAGTCTCTTCGAAATGAATGAACAAATCCCAGTAAATGAAAATCATGTTTGTCACCCCTCACTCACTAAACATATTAACTTCTCTTCAGCTAATGATTTTATTTCAGGTAGTCTGTGCATCTACCCTGCTCATAATTACTCCTTCATTGATAGTGACTGCCACTTATAGTGCTATTTTATATTTGTGCAAACGCTATGTGTTTTTCTTTTACTGTACTCTCGTGACATAAAATGGAATAAAAATGCTGAGTAAATGCTATATAAAATAAACTTACTAAAACAATTACTTACTTATTGATTTTTTAAGCTACTCTTAAGCACTTTTTTTCTTTAAATGAATAACTTGCCCAACTTAAACTATAAATTATAAATGAGAGCAGGGAAAAGGGTTAAACAAGAATGAAGAAAACAGATATCCACTGTCTATACTCAGAGAAAAACATCAGTCAGTAGTTACCGGTGACGAGCCAGGTAGGCAGGCGGTGGTTAAGCTCCTCTTTGTGGTCTAGAAATGTCTCGTCAGTCATGACCTCAAAGTTGAGGATGAACATGATCACCACACCATCCTCGTTCTTTACTGGCACCACATCCACCATACACAGGAAGCACTGACCTGTGCGGGGAGGAGAGAAAGATAAAGCTCAGCCAAACTTGTTGAATTTGATGGGGGGGGGGGCTTTACTACTTAAGCTGGAGTGAATATGGTTTTAGAGTTGAGTCGTCAGGTTATTGGATGTGACAGGCATGGACAGCATCAGAGTTGACTCTTTATATGCAACACAATCATTTTAATGAGCAGGGGAAATTCTACATAATCAATCTGCAAGCAGAACAAATCATGTGCATTCTGAGTGGTCACAGATGCAGCCGTGCAGGTCCCACTCTGACTGTGGGCATATCTATATACACGAATTACACAGGCCCACTTTCACACAAACACTTTTTCATTCTCTCCCCTTATTAAATGTGCATCTGTGCTTAATCAGCTCTGACACACTCTTTCATACGAGGCCGGGCACGTTCACTAATCTGCCACGAGAGCTAAAACAGCTAAGTAAGCGTGAAATTAAACTACATGTGACAGTAAGTGGCTGGGAGTTTTCTACCAGGTTTACAGGCTGAATACACTGCAGATAGACTCGAGGAGTAAGCTGTTACTCTGGTTTGGACCCTTCAGAGCAGCAAAATACACACACACACACACACACATGCCCATATGTGTGTGTCAGTTAAAGAACACATCTCACATCAATTTTCACCTATCATCATGGTTGTTACACACACACACACATTGAGACATGACCAAGCCATTGTTGTTTTAATTTAAAGATATTCTAGACAGAGAAAAACCTGCAGAAGCAGATGAATCAAAGGCGATGCTACTAAGGGAAACACAATCTAATTACAACTCAAA